CTTAGTTTTAGTCTCACGTTTTTAGCTTTTATTACTTCTGTATTTTAGACATTTAATGTATATTTTAGACTTTTATTTTTTAGAGGACCCTCCTGAAAAAAACCTCTAGGTGATTGGAGACCTCCTCTTAAAGTTTTAATTAATTTATTATTATTTAGGGATTTCCGGTTGTCTTGTTACTCCATTGGTAACTCCTGGCCTGGTTTGAAGTCCGTTCGTAATAATTTTTAAAAACATTCTGACGGAGTTTTCTCAAACTCATTAACAATTCATTAAATCTAAGCAAAGGAAATCACGACCGTGACAGTGTCTGGATATCTGATCTTAATTAGCATAGATTTTTTTCGATTTTACTTCTCCGTTTTCTCCTTAGTTTTAGTTCCAATTGAGAAGATATATCAAACACTCAAGACAGTGTTTGACCATATTTCCAAACACCTCGAAATTCCTCAAAAATACTCCGCTACGCGTCGTATTTTCAACTCTCTTCTCGGTGTTTGGAAATGTGGTCAAACAAGGTCTTTAGTGTTTGACATTACATAAAACGATGCCAACTGTTTTTGTACTTTGGGTGCAAAAGTTGGCGTTGTTGTTTGCCAAACTTTTTCTTTTTTATAAGAATATGCTTTATAAGAAAATCGAGTTTGAAATTTGCGAAATTGGGAGATTTTCAAAAAGAATATAATTATGTGTGTTGAAAATTTGTAAATACATTAACCGTATAAAATTCTTCCTTTCTCAAAACTAGCCAAAACTAGCCAAAAAGCGTATATCCTGCCGATTTTAGGCTGAAAATATTCTTGTGAATATTCGCAAGAATATTTTCAGCCTAAAATGGGCAGGAAAATAAGGATATTCAGCCGCGGCCGGAAAAATAATATTCTTATAAAAAAGAGTGTAATACATCATTTTTTTTTCGGAACGTGTTTACAATTAGACGCAACCGACAGTACACTATAAAACTGTGTCACTACTTAAACTGTATCATGTATGTCATATCCTTCATTCTAACGGTGGAATAGTGAGGGTCTCTCAGGGGGGTCTTTGTTCCCTTGTTCCCTTTCAAAATTGCCCTATGTTCCCACGTTCCCACACATTTTCTTTATTGGTTCCCCTTTGTAATTTTTCGATCTTTGTTCCCCTGTTCCCAAAAAATGGCTAATGTTCCCTTGTTCCCCAAAACCCCTGGGAGACCCTCAATAGTGGAAAATCTCGTATTTCTATCCTGGAAATTCCAGCTTTCGAAACGGTAACAGTCAGTGAATCAAAATCAACCTTTGCGTGCGTTAACAACAGTAACAGGCCATTCCCTACGTTGTTTTGCCCAACGGTATTTCCTCCCGTGGGTACACCCCCAGTACTGAGTTTTACCCACTCGGTGCATCAGGGCTTGGAACACGTGATATGTGAATAGTCTCTTGGTCTTCGTCTTCGGAAAAGAGCGTCGTGCTGTCGCTTGTGCGAGGCGATGATGGCTCCCGTTTCTCTGGAGGATATCGTACCAGGGAAATTTGCTTCTCGAAACCGTCCGGCGTGGTCACGAGATAAGTCGTCGGAATGACGGGCAAGCTCGATTGCCGGCGAAGTTTGCCTCGGAGCCTCTCGGTCCAGCTGCCGTTTGAGATTCGGGACTGTCGTCGGAAGACCTTCGGGTTTGTGGTCGGTTTCGGTGACGGTGGCTTCGTCTCCTCTCGCGAGCTCTCCGAAGACGACAACACCGAGCTCGACCGTGGCTGGATTTTTGGTTCAACTTGGAGTTTCTTGTTATCAAGTTTATTTGTCCAGTTACCGTAGTGAAGGGTCTCGACCCTTCTAGCCTGCTTAATGGCAAGCGGGCTTGGAATCTGTATTGTCGAGGGTTGCAGCGGCGTTCTGTTTCGAGGAATTGGTGTCTTCGCATTTGACTGAGTACCACATGGTAAATGCTCAAAAGTGTTGCTTCTGCGAAGCAGTGAGCCCGTACTGGAGGCACGCTGCAGTTTTGGCGGTGAAAAATTTGTCAGGTTAAAGCCGCATTTCGGACATTTCTTAGGCGCGTTCGGTTTCTCGTTACGTTCCTTCGGCGGCGAGCCGTACGCTACGTTCTCGACCGAACGCTCAAGAAACGCTCTTTCGTTTTCTCGTTTACTGTAAGCTTTCGCTACCTTGTGAGTCAGTCTTTCGATGCAGGACTTGTGAAAGTCCGGCCCATAGACCATGGAACTTTTGAAATCGGCGATCAAGTGTTCGGCAAGCGAGGTTGTTATTTCAGCTTTTGGCTTGTCATCTGGGTTGTTGTCGCCACTATTATCGACGATTTCCGTTCTGTAAAATTGTTCCGGTAAAGGATTCCGTAAGAAGTAATTCGTCAGTCGCACGCCGACCACTGGTATATTGTGTGACTTAGCAATGCCATACTGATTCAGGAAATAGCTGTCTTCAAGAGTCTTTTTGCTGAATATGAAGACAAAAACACTGGCATGAGAAATGGTTTGATACAGTTCCATGTTGTCCAGTCTCGGGTCGAGCGTATCGACGATAGGGTGTGATCGAACAGCCCAGCTATTGACCAAATTTTTGATGACTATATCCCTTAGCGATGGACTGCCTGTCGGTGTATTTAAGCTTGCTTCACCGCACACATACACCATCGGTTCTGCTTTGTAGTTGCTTACCTGCGTTGACATGGCTTCCGCGGAAAGTTTTCCTTTTTGGTCCGAAAAATATATATCAATTCGACCGAGCAGCGTTGTGCTTCTCGTTTCTACTCAGAATCCACCTGACTGACGAAAGTCTTGTCTAGATTCGCTGCTAGGCACCAAGTCGATGTTACGGTCGCAGCGATTTTAACTTCGCACAACGAAAACTGCTCGGACAGGTGTTTCGTCCTGTTGCCAAGTCGACTGACAGCGGCGCGCTCGCAGTTTTAATCCGCTCATAGATACGTGCACAAGTAATTTCAAAGGTTTGTTTTGCGGCCTGTATATCTTCTTTCTTTCGTAGATCTTCTAGAAGTTTTCGTTAATCCTATCGGGCAGGTAGTGCAGTTTTTCTCTTGGAGTGGAAGACAGCTGCGATGTTTTTGTGTGAGAGCACAATCTATAGCTAGACAAACGGATAACTGTGTTACTTTCAGTGTTTGTAAAGTTCCTTTCAGGGTTTCTTGGCCACAAGTACTCGAAATATATTCCTTGTGGGCGATATAGATCTTAGTTTTCTGTTGGCCGTGACTGCCAATTTAGCAGTTTTTGCTAATAGTTAAAATAAAATTGCGTTCGAAGAAGGCCTTTTCCCGTAACGTATTTCCCCATTATTTCCTCAAACAATACAGCGAATTAGCAGAAGAATATCGCGTATTACCCACATCATGCATGGCTTAAAGATCCGCCGGTTATGAGAAAGTAAATTCAATTTTTCATTTCCATATCAAAACAAAATAAAAAAGAACGAAGTAATGAGCGATACAATATACAACACAGACAGAAATCCATACAAACCTTGGGCGAATTCTCGCTTCTCGTCCTATGTAGATTTCGTTAAGAGCTATAATGGCTTCTTGCTCTCTGTTAACCCGTTTTTTTCACCTCAAGCCTTTCAAAGAGTATAATTAATAATCTTCGGTGCGAACGGGAAGCCTATCAACGCACGTTCTGTCTTTGTTGATAAAAGCGAAAGAAATGTTATTACGTTAATGCATATTCATGAGAAACCATTTAAAAAAACAGCACGTCACTTAAAAGGGCTTTCTCGTTCTTCACACTTTTGATACTCGATAATATTACTTTATTAAATAGCGTGAACTCAATGCCAAATCGATGCACTTTGTTCAACGCGTAAAAGATTAGAAAGAACGCCATTGCCATAAATGTGGCTTGAAGAAGATAAAGTACATCAAGAAATCAGTAAAAGATTTAACGGGAAAGGAAATGAATTCCCGTTAAATTTATACCATAGAAGTGTTTTCGTTGTTTCGAAATCGTTTTGAAAACACCCCACTTATGGTATTGCAAGCGCGGCGAATTTACATAAAGTTCCTGTAGAACATCGCTTTTTTAATGACCTCCGCTGGTTCATTCAAGACAGTTGCCACTTCGCAGGTGAAGCGAATTTTTCTCGCGTTCCTATTGGTCGACGTGACAGCCGAACGCAATTAGAACGCTTTGGCATAATGGAGTTTCTATTCGGAAATTACCTGTTCTTGTGTCCCTTTTAGCCTCCGATACGATAAATACTGTCTTTAAGTGATAAATCTTCGACGAAACGTGCAGATCAATTTAGGGATTGACTAACTGATATGCGATAAATGGAATCTGAATTCATCTTTGTGGCGTTTAGCCACTAAATATTTCATATGATTACATGTTCATGCCGAAAGCTTATGTTAAAATATCAATCAAGAATATTCTATAAATCAACAGTCAATTTTAAGAGTACAATTTAACAGCTGTCTTATATGTTGATCAGCTGAGCTTTAAAATATCTTTGGCTACCAAATAAAAATTTCATTTTACCCTTAAGCAAACAAAACTACTGGCTACCCGCGATCTTAATGCCAAATATCCTGCCATCTTGCCTGTACAAAACACTTCACTTTGCGAGAGTTTAAACAGGTCAAACTAAAGAGCTTTCCGAGTCTGTATCTATATATGCCAACAGCTTTGGGATTAAGGAACTTTATCGCTAAGTTTTGCATGCGAGTGACTATCTCTGATGACGCGCTATCTATGCCAGAACGCTTTGACACGAAGAGTATTTTGACAATTTTTGAATTTAGCTCAATGTACAAACCCCGACAACACTTATGAACATCGTTTTGGGGTTTTAGCGACGTTTAACTAGGATAGCGGAGGAAATGGAACGAAAACTTGATGCCACATTACTCCAGCGTCAAAAACTGTTTAAAACGTGATCCTTTTTTTGGAAAAAATTTTACACCTCATAAGTACATGGGGAAATTGCAACCCAATATGATTCTTGTCTTTGTTGGTAATCGATAATTTCTGACATTTCCCGTCGAGTAGATTTCAACAAAATTAAATCATTAGTTGGTTATTTTATTCTATCTCTCCTTGTTTATTAAGCTTCTCGAAGACATGTCATTAATTCTTTTGCTGAGTCCTCGAGTTATGTTTGACATCTGCCTTATACTTCGCATGGAGCAACTGTGGTTTTTTGGGGTGTTTTCAATTTCGTTTAAGAGCCGGGAGGCCTCGTAATTCAAAGGCAATGTATTCACGGCGTGGGAACTGCTGAGAATGTACTCGTAAAGCTACCTAGAACACATTAAGCCACGACAATAAAGACTTGATTTTATCCACCAGTACTCGACAAATGACGAAAACCCATTAAGAAGTGAATATGAAAAGCGAGGGCGAGGGTGAAAGTGGATTACAAAATTAACAAATGTGTAAAAAAATCGAGAAGCTCGCATGTTCAATTTGCTTCGGAACTCTTTGAAATAATTTTTTTTTGTATTTTTCATTTAAGAAAACGTCAATATCTGGAGTAGAATCATTGTCTTTTTATTAAATAAAGTCAAATTTTCAATGTAATTTTTTCCGTCGCGACGGAAACGGTTTGTTCAATGTACTTCCGTTCCGTAAATAGCTATCCACAAGGTTTTCCGCTGTTTGCAGAAACGCGGCCGTGTTTGTTCTTGTTTGCCTTTCGGCGGTATTACATTTTTGCAATAACTCTTTCGGACTTTTTTTAATATTGGCAATTTCTTTCTGACAAGACAACTTGGCTATGTCCACTTAGTATATCCAATTATATTTGTCAAATTGACGGGTCAATTAGTTGACACATTCACGAACATACGAGAATGTGCACAAATTGTTTTCCCCGACTCGTATAAAGAGGTTTATTAATCCATCTATCAAATCCTCTGCTGATATAACATAGAAACAGAATTATTGAATTTTTATTTGTAAAAAAAAGAAGGCATTTTTCGTTAATTTTGTTAAGGCGAGGGTAAAATTACCCCGAAGATCATCCGAAGTCCTCCGAAGATTCTTTCGTTTCTCGCCTTGAGCAAAATTACTCCGAAGGTCATCCGGCGATTCGAAATGAGCAAAGATTGCCAAAGGTGTCTCGAAAACTTTGAAAATCTCCAACGTTATCGAAAGGCCAGCAATTCAGTTATTTCCGATAGCTTTCCGATGGTCTCCCGAAAGTTGGAAAAGAGCACATGAAAAGAATATTTGGACTTGGATGCGAAACATGTCAGCATGGTCAGGGTTTGTTTTTGTATTTTCTTGTCTTTTTCGGTCTTCTGTTTTGTAAACGATTCTGAACCGAAGATGGTCGTTTTTTTTTTCTGCCTTATGGGGTCCGTCAACAGTTAGCCTCACTTTTTCTTTACATGTCGTGAATACGCACTTAATTCATGTTGCAACGTCACGCCATGTCATAGATCAATCGCGCACGCTAGAGAAGAAATGTTTAACACCAGAGGCATACACCAAAATAGGCGATATGCTTCTGTTAATGGTCCCGAGGGGAATAGTGAATTTTGTTTCCCGAGAATCTCAACGTTTCCCGAGAAGAGGTCGAGGGAAACATTGAGATTCGAGGGAATTAACGAAATTCACTGTTCCCCAAGGAACCAGCCATTAAGTGATTTGTTATATAGCAAAACAAAAGCAAAAGTAAATTTTGAAAAACACAACATCAGGCCACCTTCAACTGCACGTTCTGATCACGTGCAACAGCGGTCAACATTTCGCGGGTAATAGTGAACTGTTTCCCGTTTGACGTCATACTTTTCGCAATGTTGCCCGCGCGTGGCATTTGGCGGGAAACAGTGTCATTGTTAGATGTTATTGACCATGAACTAGCCAATGAATGGGCGCGATGTAGCGGGAAACGCCAGCTATAAAACAAACAATTATTCCACGTGCGTGCGTTGGATGATAGATAGCCAACGAGGCGCGTAGCACCGAGTTGCCTATAATAATCTCATATCCAACAAGCGAGAGTGGAATAATTGTTTTTTTAAACTGTCCCCCTCCATAAAAAAATATAGAAAACTAGACTAACATAAAACTAATAACGCCCCCAAACAAATCACGCGTACGCTTACCATATTTGTAGAGCATGGTATAATGGCTCATAACCCATGATGCCTAGGCCAATAAACTCTCGAATTGCATTATCCAATGATTTAGTTTGCTGCACCAACTTCGCATGATATTTAGTCTCTTAAATGATTTTCTACATTTTAACCAAAAAACAACAACAACACAAAAAGTCTGTACATGAGAAGTTACGTTTATTGCGCCTTTTCTGTTCTCGTGTCGTCGGCCTTATTTCATAAACGAGCACGGCGACCCCGCATTTTTTTTTCACTTTACTTTACTGCATGGCGAGTGTTGAAAAAATTCCGTACGTGGGAACATTTTGGGCGCGAACTTCCTTAAACTTTCCTGACGATTACATTACATAATTATCTCTTTAGCAAAGGATAAAGCCTAAAAAACTGAAACAAAAGTCAAACTTGAACGGGATTTGATCTATGAACCTATGACCGCTACGATATCGGTGCAGTGCTCTGCGAACTGAGCTACCAAGCCAGCTGGGAGCTGTTTAATTTTTGTGATCATTGTCCTAATATATTCGTAGATAATGAATACAGTTTGTCTCTTGACTTGCAGAAGTACTTGTCCAATAATAACAACAGCTGGCTGAGGGTAAAGACCCTTTACTAATTGAGGACACCTAAAAGAGAAATTCTAAAAATAATATTAATATAAGTACCTACAGTTATATCTAGAAATTCAGCTATTATAATCTAAAAAATATTAACTTTTTACAATATTACTTAGTTACTTACAATAATTGATAAGGTAGTTCAAGACAGGCTTAAAAGCCAAGTGCTACATAAGACATCTGTTCCTTTCTTGCACCGGACAATGGTACGAGATCACTTTACGTTTTTAGCATAAGTACGTACCAAATTTTAGTAAGAGAAATCACAAGAATAAAGGATCTAATCGCCTTACAAAAAATAGGTCCGCATTGCGTACTTGTGGGCTTATGCTTAGTTTTATTCCATTCGGTCGGAGTTTGTTTTTAAAAGTCAGTATCTGGGAGTTGAATTCCTATAAGTGAGAAGGCAATCACTGCAAAGGTAAAGATGTGGCTTTGAAACTGGAGACATTGTTCTTGTGGTAGGCAAGAATTTCCCAAGAAACTTGTGGTCCCTTGGTCGAATCCTGGAAGTAAAACCAAAAATGTCTTGTTAAAAAAGCTTTTCGCAATAATTGAAAAATCTGTTGATACACTTCTCCAGCTCTTTACTCTTTTACATCAGTGTTAGATTTTGTCCCTGTAAAAAAGAAGGATGTTTCAATTTTGATTCAAGTCACACGGCTAGGTAACCAACTTACCAAATTCATGAAATGTTATCTGCGCTACTAGAAACATATCTTTATTGTTCAAACGAAAATGTCACGTCATCTCCAATCAGCATAAATGAACGGCGCCCAGCTCGGAACCTTAGTAAAGCCGTGATCTCTCATCCACTTCATGGCCGCGTGAAGAAATACACTGGCACTTTCTCCACGAACAAGGTGCTCGTAAAAACGGCTCATCAACTTCTTTGTTGCATTGTCGTCTAGAGCCCACAGTACTACCAACACTGAGCGTGCACCGGATCCTAGGAACGCGCAAGCGATTCCAACAACTCCCTCAGCTCTGATTTGTCCACGGCCACTGTGACAATAGCTTAGTACCACCAGTTTAGCTCGTACTTGAACTTTAGCAATGTCAGACATTTTCAAAAGGTAGTCGTCTTCTTGTGGAATCTCGATAGTGGAGGCTGGAGGGGCAAGAGCAATTTCTCCTCTTTCAGCATTGCCATGTGCGGCAATATGTATGAGACTCGCTGACTTTATCCTCTCAAGTACCGCTTGCTTCGTTGCGTCCTGTCCTAACTGAAAGGCTGAACGCCCAGCCGACGTGCTATCATCTCTGCTTCCTTTCTTGCGCCAGGCAATGGGTAGAAGTCTCTCTTTTCACTTCCCCTGTAAATTACCTTGGTACCAACAATAGGATCTCACACTACCAGAGCATCAGTCTGACTGTGAAAGTTTGCAGGACTGTCCTGGATGAGTTTGAGAGTCGACAAAGAATGAACCACACGGATCGATTCTGAAATTCTCTGATAAATATTTTCCTCTTTCATTGAGTAAAGCTGGAAATGGAACACGGTACAGGCTCCGATCAGGAACTATG